AAATAAATCATACACAGAGCAAAGAAAATTGAAGAAGAATTTTTTTCTGTATTGGCAAAAGGATAAAACAATAGGAATTACAAATATAACTCTCTATTTTTTCTCTACAGAATTTTGCTATACTCTCTGCATATTTCGTATGAGATGAGAAAGAATGGGATGGGATAATCTGATGAAGATGAAGGATGCTGCCTATTTATAACACCAGGAAGGTCTAGAGAATTCTTAAGCATTTAATATAATATTAAATGCCTAGAACTTGCCATGCAAGAAAAACTTCTCCTGCAAATTTCCCCAAAGCAAATCTAGCCCCTTAGGAAACCTCCTCCCAAGTCCCTTAGGCAAATCTCCACCCAAGTCCCTTAGGCAAACCTCCACCCAAGTCCCTTAGGCAAATCTCCACCCAAGTCCCTTAGGCAAACCTCCACCCAATTCCTTTGGGAAATCTCCTCCCAAAATTATCCCAGGCAAACTTCTGCCCATTCCACATTATGAATTTAATATTTACAAACTCAAGATATACAAAATTGAATCTAAATGGAAAACCCAAGACTGAGTTTAGACCATTAGGAAGGGTAAGTAAACCCAATTGATTAAACTGACTAAAAGACGAGATTTGGATTGTTGCCCCCGAAGATGGTGAAGAGCAGAAATTGAGACACACAAATATCCAACAAGAAATTCAAACACATACCTCGAATTTGGAAGTAACTGGAAGCGCAGTGGAGGCGGAACCCTTGTTGGCGGCTGTGGCAGAGCAGGAGGAGTCTTCCGTCGTCGTCGTTGGCTCTTGCTCGCAAGAGAGGAGGAATCGTAGGGGAGGCGGAAACGGAGTAGGAACACAACAAAAACTTTTAAAACTGCCGTAGCCTTGGAAGTGACCGGAGCCGAAAATTTTTATTTATTCTACGAAGTACTAAACGGAGAAATCTAAGATTATTAACAGATTCAATAACAGTGTGTGGGTATTTAGGGAAAACTCATTAAAAAATTAAAATTGGGTAATCTGAGCTATTCATTTAATCTAATTATTTGAAAAAATTTAAATTGGAGTAACCTAAGCCATTCATTTGATACCGCCATTTTTTCTACCCATTATAGGCTTAACTCTCTTGGGCTCTTATTAGTATAGTAGATTTTGTTCTCATGCATGCAACATGACTCTCGTATGTAATTGACTGGTTGCTAATTCAAAATTGAATTATTATTTGTTCCATAAATCCTATATCAATCCCGGAAGGATTGCTATTATCAACAAATTATCATAATCCTCTTTTGACTAAATTTATGATGTCAACAAAAATCATCTCCGACTATGACTTAGTACAATTCTGTGCTGTTTAAGGAGTGGTATACTCCTTTATAAAAATGATATTTGACTTATTGCCATACATGATATGATTGATTTAGATGTTATTGGTTTGGAAGAGAAAAACGAATTATATCATATCAGTTTGCCCGAAGTAAACGAGAGAATGAATTATATCATATCAATTTGCCTGAAGCAAACGAAGGAATAAATTATTTCATATTAGTTTGCCCGAAGAAAATGAGGGAGTGAATTATATCATGTGAATTTGCACGAAGCAATTCCCAAACCAGTGAGTGAACTAATGTAAAGTTGAGGATAAGGATTTTTGGAAGATCTTGAAGATCTATTTTATTTGACAAGCTTCACAGCTTCCCTATGATTGTTGTGTACCCTTGTAATATCATTTGATATGTATGCTTTCATATCTGATTACATATTTTCTTGTTGGGGACATCAGTTTTATATGCTATTGTGATTATCACAATCTGACCTACTGCATATCATAATAATTCCCCCTAGAACCTAGTACGTGGTATAAAACCAAACATTTCCCATCCGCGTTTTATTCACAGTGTGTAGTCCTTTTCTTATATCACCACCATAGCGTACCTTGTGGGCATGTATATGTTAATGATAAACCTCCGTCTGTTATTTAAATTCTTAGAGCCCATGAAAAGTGATAAATATATAATTAGATACGTTGACTTTACACTTTATGAAGATCATTTCATGGCATTAGGGGGAGATAAAAGTTCAAATTTAAAAGAATGCCGAGAAATTCTATGGATGATTGATGAAAAAGATCTTCAATATTTGAATCCACGTACTAGGTAGACTGAACTAGAAGTTCATAAGAAGTAAACTGGACTGGAAGTTCAGAAGATAATTAATTTGTCAATATATATACTAATAAAAAGAGTGACTAGGTCCTATATAATTTCCCCAACTTGGACCATATGTATCTACCAATGCTCCTTGACGCCAGAAGCGTGGAGACATGTTGGTATAATCCGCGGAAAGCTAAATCTAGTAGAAAATGGTGTCACTCTTGAAATCGCTTAAAGAAGTATGTCCTGAAGACATTCGTCCAGAAGGCGAAAACCCCCAGTAAAATTATAGGTGCACCCAAAATCATAATACTGGAGATGCGGAATGACCAGATAAAAATATCTTTGGGAAATGGCTAGAGTCTGGTTGAATTAGAAATCGCCATTATTTTATGGGAGAAATTTATGAAAAATGTTATAGTTGTCGACAACACAATTGCCATATAAATTGCTCTTAATATATGAGAATCTGGATCCAGAGCTAGGCACTAGTAGTGCCCTGATTTTTTTTAATGTATAAAAGAGCAATTAAGGCATGTACAGCTCAACTCGCTAAAACTGTATTCTCTTTATAACACGTACACCATTTAATGTTAACCTTGTAGGTTACAAATGGGTGTTTGTACGAAAGGTAAATACAACCAATATGGTGGTATATATAAAGTGAGATTGGTAGCTTAAGGGTTTACGCAGAGACCCTGAATTGATTTTGATCAAATATTCTCTCCCACAACAAATGGCATTACGTTCCGCAAATTAACATTATTGGCAGTGAATTGTGAATTTAGATATGCAGTTGATGAACGTCATGACCACAAACTTATGAGTCATTAGACGCTAATATTTATTTGTAAATCCCTGATGGATTCAACATTTTTTTAGGAAAGTGAAAATCGCAACGTGTATCATTAAACTACTAAAGTCTTTGTGACTTGAATATTATTGACTGAGCGTTTTCCTCCTGAAGAAGGAATGTACAAATAATATGTACCATTATGTGTTAGCTAAAGAATTGCTAATGGAGTTATTTATTTATCATCCCAGTCGATATTGATGGTTTAAATATCATTGAAACACATAGAGAGCTTGGTGATATCAGCTCATGCCAAAAGACGGAGTTTTGAAATAAAAGACTTGGAAATCCAAGTATTGTCTCGACCGGAAGATCGAGCTTCTCCTTGAAGAAGTTTCATACAACAATTAGCCTATTTGAAAAATGTCATGAAGATGTTTTATAGGGATAAGTATTATTTTCTTATCACACAAATCGTTGTCCAATAATCTCTTGAAGTAGATAAAGGACCATTTAGACTCGAAGATGATAATGAGGATATTTAGGGACTGGAAGTCCATTACTTCATTCCTATTGGAGCACTATTATTGAACTAGAAGTTTCATAATCACATCAGGCCTGGTATTGAATTTTCGATGAAATTGCTAACAACATTTAGTGCTTCCCCCTACAATGAAAATTGGAATAGTATTTAACATATCCTCCAGCATCTTTGAGGTACAAAGATTTTGACGTTTATATGAGAAACTCATATGTGGTTTTGATGGGCTACTTGAGCACTGGCTCTTTTATTTGATCCCTATGATGCCAAGTCCAAAACTGGTTATGTTATTTTTTTGCCCCCAATGTCCCATATGAGGACAAATAAGATTGTGTTGCACAAGCAAGTAACAGGTTTGTTAAGGGGAACCTTACAAAACATGTTGCACATAAGTCCTTCTACACACATGAACTATAGAAGAGTAGTAAAATTCTTGTTGAGAAAGTTTGTCCCACTAAACAATCTTGCAGATATGTTCACTAAGTCTCTGCCTACATCCACTTTTGAGTAATATGTTTATAAAATTGGGATGCGTAGGCTTAGAATATTGTTATCTTCAGGGGGAGCGATAATCCCTAGCTGTGCTAGAATGGACAATCTAGAGGATTTTTGAAATCCTGAAGATTATGTTATGAAAACATATGGTTGTGCTCTTTTTCCCTTAGCTAATTAGTTTTTTCCCACAGGGTTTTCTTAGGCTAAGGTTTTTAATGAGGAAACCGATGTTGGTGCACTTGAGTGGATAGTCCTGAACCCTTGAAATCTTGAAGATTATGCCCAGAAGGCTTATGGTTGTACTCTTTTCCTTGGCTAAGTTTTTTCCCACTGGGTTTTCTTAGGCTAAAGTTTTTAATGAAGCAACCTGTGCAACACATGGATCAATATACTTCGTGTACTCTTTTCCTAGTCTAGGTTTTTCCCACTGGGCTTTTCTAGCGAGGCTTTTAACGAGGCATGAATATAGTTATTTAATGGCCAAGGGGGAGTCTTATAAATATTTTATTAGTGGCCATTAATCTTGAGATTCTCCATTTGCCTTCTACTTAATATATTGTTTATGTTAAGCATATGAAGGGTTGTATAGTTTAGTATAAATACATGTGAAGGCTTAATGAAATGGAGATCTTATGTTTGTGCTCTACATCTTGTGTCCTTCATCTCTTCTTACTTCTCTACACTTTATAATCTTATATATATATATATATATATATATATATATATATATATATATATATATATATATATAATCTCCAGGCAATTACCGAACAATCTTCACGCGAGAACTGAGCTAATTGATATGTCAAATTACAACAATTAGTAGTATGTAGTCATTTAATTTGGTGTTTGTTTCCAGTGCAATCCCAATTTTTTATTTTTTGTTTTTTATGTTGGGCAGATGGTCTCAGATTGCAGCAAGATTGCCAGGAAGAACAGACAACTAGATTAAGAATATGTGAAATTCTTCAATCAAGAAGAAGTTGAGGCAAAAGGGGATTGACTCCAACACTCACAAGACATTATCATAGGTGGAAAACGATCAAGAAAACGCGTCGGCGGCTAGAAGAATGGAATTGCTTCCCATGAATCCTGCGAACTTTCTCTAATGAAATCTGAACACAATTCCCAGTCCCACCAATTTGATAAATAGGTTTGTCACACATGTATGAAACGTGCTTTACTACAGAGTACTATCAGCTTGTAATCTATAAGATTAGGGGGTTATGTATGAAGTTGGTCACAAATCGAAGTGCATGATCTGCCATTCTATTTACCTCTTCAAATGTTATGTATTAAAATAATAGATTTTAGCTTCTTTTTTTTCTCTTACATTATTATATGATATGACTACTTTAACCAATTAAGAAACACAAATTTTGTTTTCAAAAAAAAAGAACACTAATTTAAAAATACACATTGGACATTAGTTTTATTGCGCAAAGCACGTTGATAACTAGTACGTTTATAAAGTTAAAAGTTAAAACTATACTTTATAAATAGAAACTTAAAATTTTAGAAATTAAAATTAATAAAATCTATGACGAATAAATTTAAACTAATACGTGAAGATTCTTATAATTCATTAGTACAAGTGTAAGATTCTTTGTAAAATAAATTTTACAAACATGTAAAGTAAATTTAAATAACTACAATCTTAGCCTATAGGTTTAATTTTGAAAAAAAAAAAAAGTAATGTGGATTTACTCCAGACTGGCTTAGCTCGTTACGTTGCATATTACATGGAGGCGGACACGGTTCCACAACATAATTTGTCATCCTGGCATGGCCCTATATATTGGATCATGTCATGCCCTCCCAAACACAATAACCTTTGAGTTGGGCAAATTATTGTATAGACCATGGTTCACACAATTGTGTGAACCATGAATATCAGGTACATTTTTAATATATTAAAGATACATTATTTTTGTATGGAAGGTACATTATTTTTGTACTGAAAATACAATATATAAAATAATGTATCCTTAGTATATTAAAAATGTACTTTCAAAAAATGTACCTTACGTACATAAATAATGTACCTTAATATATTAAAAATGTATTTTTTATTTATGGTCCACACAATTGTGTAGACCATGATCCATGCAATAATAATTGCTTTGAGTTGTGCCTAGGCTTGCCAATGGGGTTAAGCTCATGCCAATCCTTATAACCTTAAGCACACATTAGTATCTCTAGTAGTAGATGAGAAGTAGATACTTAAAATTTTTACCTAAAAAAAGAGTGAGTCAAGTACAATATGAAGATAGATTCATATGATTCAAAATTGATTCATTATCATATCCAAACCGAATCTTTGTTTATGGCTTTACAATGGACCATGTTTGATAAAATAGTTAGCTTATCAGTCAATTTTGAGTTATTTGATCACTGTTAATTATTTGGCTTAGTTAAAAAATAATATAAATGTTTGGTTAATTAGCTTTTTGTAACTCTAAAATGTTAAAATTCAAAAAGTTGTTCAAAACAACTTTTTCAATTAGCTTTTTGAGAAAAGAAATTAGAGTGTGTTTGGTTCGTACATGGGAATCGGAATCGGAATGAGTATCAAATACTTGGTAATGGTAATGAGTTTTAGTGAAAGTATTTTGCATGTTTGGCAGTAGGGTGGAATGGAAATGATTATTAATAATGTTGTTTGGTTATGTATGATCCAATAATGGGAATAAAGATTTTAAAAATACAAGAACACAAAATAAAGACAACTGAATCTAATATAAAGACATCCAAAACATCAATATGAATAAAAAAAATAAAGACAAAAATCTAAAAGCGCCTCACTCCTTTTGATACGATATTTCCCTTCAAGTTCCAGCATAAACAATTCCCTTTGATGCTTGCATATGCCAATATTCCATGACTATGAACAAAAGTCATGGTCAAACACTAACTCACGTTGGGTTATTGTTAAAAAAATTGGTCTTTAATCACGGACAATTGTTTCTCCCAAGTCATCCATCTTGATGGACTGAAGGTGTTAGCTCTAGACAAGGATGGACAAGATTGTGTTGCGACTACCGATGTCGTCTACAAAGAGGTTTTCAATAATGTGTAAATATAATCGATGATATTATGTTTTTTTTTTCAAAATGACAAAATTGCTATATATCTAGACAAAAATATATCCTTTATACAAATGAATTAGGATAGCAATTGATTACTATAACTAAGTTGCTAGAGAACGAGCACATTTGCCCAATTTATAAATGATGGATATCATACTAAGTCTGGGCCATATGGACCGACCCAAGAGAGCGACGAGATTAAGGAAGCCCAAGAAAGATGTACAGAACGGAGCAACCCAAGAGTTTGTCAAGGATTGGGCCTGTTATTCTCAATATAATTAGAATTGGACTCAATATGTCTAGTACAATAGGATTAGGTCTCATTATGTAACTAAGACTCTCAATATGAGATAGTCTAGAGTTCTTATTCCTTGTAGGGTTCTAAGCTCAAAATATGTATAAATAGACCCTTCACATAAAGGAATGGGACGACTCTCAATATTGACCAACAATATTCTTCAGTACAACATTCCTATATTTTCGCCATATATTTTTCCTATATTTTTCATATATTCTCGTCATTTTAACGATAGTGTTGGCCTGCCGTTAACTGCCCAAAAGTCATAAAACTAACATTGGCGCCGTCTGTGGGGATCGATACGAAAAGTTTACGTTCGTTCCTCAAACCTAAGACACACGATCGAAACCCTAATCATGGGGAGCACTCAACGTGGCACCCATAATGGCCGACCCATTCGAGATCTGCGAGAAACTCTCAACCGCCCTACCTCTCTCATGATGTCCAGTCGGTCAGTGCTCCTAAGGGAATGTGTCAATCTAGAAAATCCTCGAGAAGAAGGGGGAGATCCATCCCAGCACACTCTTACCGATCACTGGCATCCCATAGACCCAACCAATCGAACTTCCTCTAACTGTAGTGGAGGCCACTGAGCACCTCCTGGGAGTCTTGCAGTGCGACTTCATACTGAGAGGCGAGTCCCCACTGGACCCCCCTCATCAATATCATTCTGACAGAGCATACAACAGGGACAGACCAACCGAGGAAACGCAAGAATCGGACTCACCCAGAGAACATCGCCGCACGATCTCAATCCTCAACCGCCTAGGATCTTCAGGCAAACGACCCCCCACCGCACGACATAGACAAGACAATCCAACAGTTGAATGACCGCGACGGAAAACAAGGCTCAATCCCCAACAGCGAGCGAAAGCCGCTCAAATGGCATTCCTCCGCGCGCAGGAATGACAAGGAGAGGAGCGTAATAGAGAAGGCTCTCCAGATGGCCTGGTAGAAAGTTGTGGTGAGACCCCCGACCTCCATATGTAGACTAAGGGTAAAAAGGACCGACCGGCCACTCGGTCTCCGCTGTCCACCAACCTATTCACCATAGAAATCCAAGAATATCGCACACCAAGAGACTTTGAATGCCCGGCGATGCCCGCCTTTAACGGGACAGGCAACCCTAATGACCACTTGATCAGCTTTCGAACAGGGATGAGGATGATAGGAGCAGAAGATCCTATGTAACGCCATGCCTTCTTCTCAACACTAAGTGGGGCAGCGCAGCAATGGTTCATGTCACTACCACCCCAATCTATCAATTGTCTCAAGACCCTAGCAAAAACGTTTTTAACGCACTTCGCTGGAAACATAAGAGGCAAAAAATACTCCAAGGCCTTAACTTCAGTACAACAAAAAGAGTCAGAGAGATTGGAAAAATTTCTAAAGCGATGGCAAGAACAAATGCAGATAGCAGAGGACTTGGACAATCGAGCAACGCTAACATTGTTCATGGAAGCATTAAGGTCTGGGGATCTACTCACTAGCCTGCGAAGAAAAAACCCCAAGACCTAAGCCCAAGCCATCCAGTGGGCCCATAAATACGCAGATGCAGAGGAAGCCTTGCGACAAAAAAAGGAAGAGGAAAGAAGAACGACCCTGCGAAGATATAAGAACACATTTGGGTGATCAACCGTCGGAAAAGAGAAATAAACCAAGTGTCCACAAGGAACACATCAACCACTATTACAAAGCGATCCCCGAACTAGGGTCCCAACCAGCGTGTAGGGTAAAATTACCCCGCTATACATCGGCCACGAGCCGACCACTACCACCCGTCTCACAGCCAATCAACCGGTCGCTGTATATGAAACCGGCAGCTAGGGGACCTAAATATTGTCGCTACCCCCACCTGAAAGCAGGTCACACCACCGAAGAATGCACCACTCTACAAAAGGAGATCGGAAACCTCATCCATAAAGGAAGACATGCCACTCCCTCAAACCAGTGGTCACGACAACCCACAGAGCCAGCCGAAGATCCCGTCCATAGAGGAAGACAGGCCACTCGCCCCAACCAGTGGTCACGACAACCCACGCAACTAGCTGAGGATCCCATCCATAGAGGGAGACCGGCCACTCGCCCTAACCAGTGGTCGCTACTACCCACGCAACTAGCAAGGGACACTATCCCTACTGAAGAAAAAACAGAACCCTCACTGGAAAGTCCCAGTTGGCGAGACAACGACTACAAAGAACAGGAAGACTGAAATTGGAAACACAAGCCCATAATTCGCTAGGAAAGCAAGACCTACAAATCCAAACCAAGAAGACACATTCAGAATTCAAGGCGGCTCAAGAAACACTATTAATTTGGAAAAATAATCTCGCATGTAAATGCATTCAAAAGCCACAACAAGGAGGAAAGATTGATGGTCAATCGCACCCTGGTAGTCCTGCCACTCTCTAAGACAGGCACCACAGAAAGACAATAGGGAGCGTCACACGACGATGACCTCCAATATACATAAAATCATCCAGAGTAAAGCAATCAAACTAATAGAGACAACATACCTCCAACATCAACAAACCACCTCAAATGCCCTCTAAATTCCGGTAGTTAGTTTGGGCAAACTGCGCAGGTAGTGTAACACCCCAGATTTTCAAGATACTTAAAACTTATAAAATAAAGGTGAAATCTCATTAAATCCCAAAACATAATACAAGAGTGCGGGGTGCTATGCCACACCTGAGCTAGAGAACTCAGGTGCACAGGCTAACTATCTAATATCCTTAGTAATGTAAATGCATAAACATGGCACGCAGGCCGGAAGGGAAACTATATACTTCTACGCTCCAAGTTCTAGCGCGCTCCAGTGACTTATGCTTCTGTGCCTGAAAGCCAAATATATCTGTTCAGCGAGAGATGCTGGTAACCCACTCCAACGCGTTGAAATACAATACATATAGAGATATATATAGATA